CCTAGAACCCATGCTTTAGCCCTCCCAAGCTGTGGGGGGTCTCATAGGGCAGTCAGAGGGGCATAAGGGAGGGCTCTGTCGGGAAGACATTCCATGGGCTAGACACTGGGAGGTGGGTCCAGGCTGTCAGCCAGGAGCGGGTAGCTACACTGAGGTGGGGACAGGAGGTTAATGAAGTGAAGCTGCCTTGACTCCCAGTCAGTCGTGGAGGGCAGGCCCATAAAGGAAGCTTGCTCCCTAGGCCCAGAACTTCTGCCAGCTTGCTATACTCCACCCTTCACCCTCCACTTTCCCACCCCACTAGCCTGATACCCAGCTTCCTATCCCCTAGAGAATTGGCCCAGGGCTTATCCTGGTCTCAGAGTGAACCTTCATCAGATAACCTTCAGAGAGACAGGACAGGGGACAGTCGTGGCAGGTTTTGAACAAGGAAAAAAGATGGGACATTCAGTCTTAGGGCCCTTGGAAGGACATGACACCTGTATTATTAATCCTATTATAGTTTCACCTTGCCGGCTTAAAGCTGAACAAATCATCAGACCCCATACCCCTTAGCAAGGTGGGCTGGGTGAGTGGGGTCAGGGATTGACAGGCCTTGATGAGTGGGCAAGGACAGGGCCCAAATTTCCTCAAGGTCACCGGGCCTCCCCTCTGGGGTGTGTCCTCCACCCCCACCACCTCTGAGCTGGCACCAGGCCCGCCTACCCGCCTGGGACCTGCCAGATCACGTTGAGCAACCAGTTCCTGAGAAGCGTTGAAGGCTGTTTGGTTTAAAATTAACTCCCCCTCCACCCCCTCCCGCCCTCCTCTGAGTTCTTGGAAGAGGCGCTCTGCTCTTCCTGGGAAGAGGCCTCCAGCCACAGCTGCTGCAATTCTGGCGAAAACACCTCACCCATGGTGGGGGCAGGGGTGCCCACACCAGGACTTCTCTGCCTTGCACAAGGCACCCCCAGGTTACCTGCTGAGATCCAGAAGAGAAAAGGGGTGATTGTCAAGGTGCTGGGAGTGGGTGCTATTGCCTTTAAAGCCCACAGCTCCCAACCAGACACTGGCTGTATCCTAGTGAAGAGGTACAGGGGTTATGGAGACCCAGCCAAGGCACCTCTGCAGCAGGAGAGAGAGCAAACTGATCTCACAGACAGCAGACCCATGGCCTGGGCTATATATGGCTCAGAGAGATAAAGCAATCTGCCCAGGATCACCTAGCTTTGTCTGCCTAAGCTTAGCCTGCCCTCTAGACGTCTGGCTGACGACACTGATCTGGCAGACGACACTGATCTGGCAGAGATGCCCAGGAACACACCCTACAGGCACCGGAGCACCAGGGCTAGTGAGCTCTGCTGAAGAGGTCCCTTATTGTAGCTCACCCACTCTTCTCAGACTGTCATATCCTTCTGGATAAGCCTTCATTTTCCTGTGTCTCTTTGAGTTCCATGTCTGAGCTTTGAGGAGAAAGTCTCCTGAGGACTTACTCTCCTGGCAGCTCCTCCTACCACAGCTGTTTGTCCACCGGAAAGAGCTGAGGAAAATAAAGAAATGTTGGCCAAGTGGAAAGGTCAACACACACACACACACACACACACACACACGATGGGCTCAGAGGCTAATGGAGGTGGGGAGCAGTAAAGTGCTTCCCTGGAGCAAACTGAGAGGCACTTTTATGAACACAACTTTTGCCTAACCTAGACTATGAGTGAAATCCATACTTCTGGTGGAGAAGCGCCCAGTTCTGGTGACAGGAAGAGTTGGGTCTGGCTCATAGGTGCTGGGAGTGGGGAGAGTCCCTGGAGTAGGTTTTGGCCCCTAAAGAACATTTTCTGGATACTATATCCCCTTCAGTCACAACATCAGGGCATATTTGGTGCCTGCACATTCACTGGTACCGGGACTGTAGGTAGTGTAGTCTTGGAGGACTCCTTGGAGGAGTCATGGTAGCCCCAACTTTCCTCAACCTTCAGAGGCTCCCTCCTGTGCTTTGATCCTCAGCTGCTTCAACCAGGCCTGGGTCATGGAAACAACTGTTTCTGCTGAGTAGACAGCTTTGGCCTCCTACTGTGCTGTGCTTGCTGAGTCTCCTTGAACTTATCGATGAGTATCAGCTTCCATTTATTCTACATAACAGTAAAGCTAGGCCCAGCAGCTCTTCCAACTACCCTCTGATCTGCAGTCTGGCCAGATTTAAACCTCCAGGGACTGTCTCATTTTGAGTCTCAGACATGGGAATCCTAGCCTATTGCCCTGAGATCATTGCAGCACCAGGGCAATGGTTGTGCAGCTCCACCGGGTTAGGAAGGGGTGGGGAGACTGTTGAATTTCTGGTGAAGCTCAAGCCTGCTTTAGATTAAAACTGGTCTAACAGGTTGATGTGAAAGTGCTGTTGAGGCCTGAACAGGCTCAACTTCTCCTAGAAGAAGAAGATATTTATGAGGTCCTCAGGGTTGGATGCCCTATGCACAGACCCCAAATTTTCCTGCCTTCTTGGTCAGGCCTTATTTTAGGTCCTGGCCCTCTGCTTCCTTCACTTCAGTGTGGACAGCCATATAAGGTGGGAGGGTTCCCATCTGAGAGCAGAACCAGCCATGGCCCCAGCCCCATTTAGACATGGGTCCATCGTTGGCTTTTCAAGATCTGCTCAGTCAACAGATTATCTGTGTTTATATATTTTTTCTTTTTGTGACAGTCTCGCTATGTTGCCCAGGTTGATCTTGAACTCCTGGGATCAAGTGATCTTTCCACCTTTCCAAGTAGTTGAGACTATAGGCATGGGCTGCTGGGCCCAGCTTCAGTCAGCAGATTAAAAGCCTGGCCTAGGTGCAGGGACCCAGTCATTCCAGGAATGCTGGGTCACTCAGAGATCCTGTTTAGCTGGCCAGAATATCACTAATATACGCTGACAAGAAATACCTGGAATGTTTTACCAGCATTTCTGTGTCAAAGTCATTTCAGAGGGAGACTTGTGAATCCAGGGAGAGACGCTACACAGGATCAGTCTCTAAACTCAACTTCTCCAGAATCCATCCCCCAGATTCCCCACTTCCAGAAAGCCCTCCTGAGCATCACCACCCCTCTATATACTCTCCAAATCTCGGGAGTCTTGAAGATTTAGCTAACCAGCCCTTAGGCAGAACAGAACAGTTACACAAAAAAAGGTCTGGAGTTAGGATCTGAAGCCTGGGTCTGCCTCTCATTAGCAGTGTAACCCTGGGCAAGATAACACTCCTCTCTGAACTTTACCTCTTCAACTATAAATGGGAGTAATCTCTGCTGGTATGCAGAGTTGTAGTGAGAATTTAATGGGATATGAACACTGCCCAGGGTCACAAAAATTGCCACCCTCACCTACTCCTCCTTCCCATTATACCTTACCTCTCCAAGTCTCATACTTCTTAACTTTCTTTCTGGCCTCTTGCTTCTAGGCCCTTATGGGTCCATCCCCACCTAACTGACAGATGCATCTCTTAGAAATGAGCACTGCAGGGGACTGCTCCCTGCTAGATTCTGAAGAGGTGCTCCACCACACTATAATAAAATCACATGCCTCCTCTGCCCTTCCCACCCCATTCTGAGCTTCAGGTTTGTTTCTGCCTCAGAGCCATCGCACTGATGTTGCCTTCTTGTGACATCCCTTCCCCAAGCTGTCTGGATGATGCCTGCTCTTTGCTCAGGCATCCAGGTTTGCTTCCACCCTGGCTCAATGCTTTCCCTGACCCTCTTAGTAGGGGTGTTCCCATACTTGATGTCACTTCTGCCCTGTCCCCTGCTTTACTTTCTTTATACTCTCAAAAACTTGTCCTGTGTGCCCATTTGTTCATTTGTTTACTACCTCTCTTGCACTAGCCATGAGCCCCATGAGGATGGGGACCATGTAGACATGATCTTGCTGTGTCCCCAGGGCCTAGATTGAGGCTGGCCTAGATGGTGCCAAGGAGTGCATGTGCTGGTGAAGGACTTAATAGGTAAAGGGTTATATCAGTTACTGTTTGTATATTGTGCAGGGTCCTGCACACCCACCAGATGGCTAATCCCTTTCTCCCCAGCTAGTGTCATTTTACTAGCTTGGGTCACCCAAGGTGATTGTGTTGACCAGAAGATTTCCTGCATCTGTTAGGCTGGGTCTAGGGTCAAATGAAATGCCATCTACTGCCCCTGTTCCAGGCAGGCATGGTGCACTCCCCTGGTAGGGAAACAAAAACATCAAACCAGAAAATGTTGGGATTTGAAGTAGCTAACAGCGCCTTCCCAGGAGACGGATGGACCCTAGCTTGAGCTGAGGTGAAGGGTAAGGCAGACAGTATCCCATTGGCCAGGTCAACGATTATAGAACTCTCAGCAGACAAGGAGACAGGGATCAAAACCAGTGTCCATCCCAGCTGCCTGTCCTCCCCATTTCATGTAGCAGTCCACAGGCAGATGGACAGTTAGCATAAGATCTGCTCTGTGACCCACTTGCCTCAGCAAGCCCCCTTCCAACTAGGAATCTGTTTACTCATTTGGACTGCCATTCCCAGGGTTGTGGTGAATCATGGCTCAGTGTCTGTAGTCACTGCACCTTCTCCCTGCAAGGACTGGTCCTGAATGCTGACTATTGGATCCTTCTCAACTCACTGCCCTCAGGAACAGGCCATAGAACCCTCCCCATTGGTATTCTCCATCTGCATTTTGAATGAGCACTTCCTGTTTACATACCTCTCAGGCCTCTGCTCCTGACACCCCCAGCCTCCATCCCTACAACCCAGCAGTGCTCTGGTTAGTGACCCTATAGGCAGCCCAATGGGCCTTCACATCCTGTTTCCCATTTTCTAAGAGAAACAAGGAGGAATGAGATGAGAAAGACCGTTCTTCATCTCTTCCACCCTGTTAGTGAGTGCCCCAGGAGAGACTGTTCAGCCATGAAAGATCTCTGACTTTTGCTAGCCTGGATGTGAAATGGGAGATCATGATAACAGGACCAAAAAGGAAAAACTCTGAGCAGAACTCAAGAGGCCCCACTGAGGGCTCCATAAATGAAAGGTATAATTTTATTGTCATTATGGAAAAATCAGTGGAAGAAAAAAGACTACCACACTGGGTTTTGTGTTATAATAATTATTTTATAAAGTCTTATCAGATATGTATTTCTTCCCCTCTCTACTGTGCAGGCACCTTCCTGGGCAGGAAACCAATGCAGCAGAGCTGCCGCAGCAGCCCTTGAACCAGCATCCCCTTCCTGACACAGCATGTACACTCTGAGGGCTTGTGCCACGGTGAAGGCAGCTATGTGTGGCCACAATTCTGTCCTGCAAGAAGGTGGGCCACAGGCTTTGTTGGGGACTGAGGCTCTTGTTCCATTTTCTTGTCTGTTCACTCATCCTCCCCAAACAGGGCTGAGACAGAAAAGAGTGGCCACATTCACAGGCAGGTGGGTCAGTGCCAGACATCCAGGAATGCCTTGGGTCCAGCAACACTTCTTAGGATGGGGCTCTCCACAAAGAAGAATCAGAGAAGCTAGAACAGAGCTGGGGTCTCTGGACTACCCAGGGCTCAGGGCAGAGAGGTAGGGTGGCTCACTGGAGACCAACCCCAAGAGGAATAAATAAATAAATAGCATATAACTGTGCAGTTCCCCAGCCTAGCCTGCTTCCCCACAAGGGGGCTGTCACTATCAACCCTAGTTCCTCTGGCCACCATCCTCCCAGAAACAGACTGGCTGGAGGTAGGGGGCCTGCCCCACCCTGCATATTGAGAAACCAGAGCTGGGAAAGTCTACACAATTCAGGTGGCTGGGGTCAGTAAGTGAGTGAAGACCTGGGCCCAGCCAGCAGGGTGAGACAAGGTCCCGCCTGTCTCCCTCTTCTCTGATACGTGGCTCACCACAATGGAACCACATGGGACCTGGGGGTGCTGAGCTCTGAGTTGTATGACAACTCTCCCCTCCCCCTTCCTTGCTCTTGCTGGCTCTTTCTGGTCCAGCTGCCAGATGCACGCAGGCACCAGGATGGCTGGAGGGATAGCAGGAGACCAAGTCCAGCTGGGGCCTGTGTCCCCTCCAGGATATGGCTGCGTGAGGCTGGGCAGGATACCCAGACTAGTCATAGTTGGAAGGGGTACTGTCGGAGGTAGTCAGCCATGCGTCGGGGCAGTGGTAGGCAGTCCACATCAGCCACCAGACGGTTGATGACAAGGCGACACAGGTGCTGAAGGCTTCGGGCACTGCTCCTGCGCACAAAAGGCTGCACCAGTTTTAGGTGCACAGCAGTGGCCACAGGGACAGGGAGTGCTGGGTCACTAGGTGCATCTTCCTTAGGCATAGGGAGGGCTGGCGTGGGAACAGGATCAGGGCTGTCACTTCGGGTGTCAGCAGAACAGGAGGCCACATAGTGCTGCACAAGGCTGACCACGTCCGGGAAGGCCAGGATACGAGGCCTGGACAAGCAGTTGGAGTCCAGACGGAAGCTGGAGTCAGCATACTCAATGCGCACATTGGTGGGGCCACGAGTGGTTTTCACTGACAGCGTGAACAGGTAGCTGGGATGGGTACTGTCTCGTACTAGGAATGTGCCCTCTGGCATCTTCTGCAGGTGTTGCCGGGCCTCACTGGCTGTAATAGAACCCCAATACCAACCTAGGAAAATGGAAAGAGGGGGCAAGGGACTGGTCACAATGGAAATCAGCTGAGAATACTTAACCCAGGACAGGTTAGGACCATGCCTCTTTCTTCATACTTCCAGGAGGAGGAAGGCTACACTTCTCCCATCAGACTCTCTGGGGCTGGGCCATTCCCCCCAAATCAGACTCAACAGACAGAGAACTAAGCTTCCCATACCAGACTTCCCAGGACAAGGCTTGCTTTCCCCCCTCAGACTCACCAGATTCTCGAAGGTAGGAAAAAGTCTTGGCTATGCACAGCAAATCCTCCTCAGGATCCAGCACCTTTGGTTCACTCTCTGGCTGGACTGGGGTCTCTTCTGCCACCTCCTCCAGGAAGGCCCCAGCAGGTAAGGGCTGCATGGCTGGCTCAGGAAGCTCAAGGGACTGGGCCCACAGGGGCCGCTGCCCGATCTGCTCCACAGCCAGCAAAGGACAAGATCTAGAAGGGGGTGGATGGAGAGTGAGGGGAAGCCCCATGCCCATGCCTTCCCCCTTTCTAGAGAAATCCCCTTGATTTCTTCCCTCAAATACAGACCTTCTTTTTTTTTTTTTTTAATTTATTTTTATTTTTTTTAGTACTGGCTGGGGTTCAAACCTCAGATCTTACACATGCTAGGCAAGAGCTCTGCTACTGAGCTACTTCCCTAGCATTATAGACCCTCTTTTATTTTTTTCCCATTTCTCTGCATTTATTAAATATGAATTTATCTATTTTATATCAACCAAACCACAAATAATTCCCTATAAGCATTCCTAGCATCACCACCACAGTGATAGGAACTAGTGCAAAGTAGCCTCACAATTGTGCTTTCTTGGCTGAGGTAGGCTGATTAAGTGACACTGATCCTGGTTGAGCCACAGGATGGAACTGAACTGGGTCCTCCAGGGAGGTCCCAAGATTACATACTATAGGAAGCTTGAGGTCACATGCTACCTGCCTACCAGTAAGAGCATCTGTGAGTGGGAGTTGGGTCTACACTGGCTAGGACTTCAAGGCTGAAACACTCCCCTACCCTTATAGGTCAGACTGCCATCCTGGCTTGTTCCTCCCAGCTCAAGGTCATGGGTAGATAGTGGCCTCTAAAAGTACTAACAAGCCTCACCTCTCATAAATATGAACTCAAGTCAGAGGGCATGGTACTCAAACTCATATTCCATGTCCCACCCTGGCAAGCCAGCCCCTACTAGGCTCTATGGTCTTGGACATAGCTTGATTCTTGATGGGCTTCAGCTTCTACTTCTCCCAATTAGGGGTCTATTAGTCAAGACACTGAAGGGCTGGGTAACATCATAGCCTTAGATGGTTGGGGGTAGGGGAACTAAACAGGCCAAAATCTAAGCAGCAGCTTCCTACTAAGGGAAGCCCACTCAGCATGGGGATCCTCGGGCTTCTTCCCTGAGAGTGGGACAGGGAATGGTTCTCCCTCACTCCTAACAAAATATACTTCCAGGCCTCAGTTCTGAGTCTAGTCTGTGGCTGGGCCTTAGGACGCTCAGATTATAAAAACATGGTCCCACTGTGTGCAGTGGCACTCGTCTGTAATCCCAGAAGCTTGGGAGGCTGAAGGGGAGGATTGTGAGTTTAAAGCCAGCCTCAGCAACTTAGCAAGACATTAAGTAACTCAGCGAGATTATGTCTCTAAATAAAATATTTAAAAAAGGGTCGGGGGATATGGCTCAATGGTTAAGTACCCCTGAGTTCAATCCCTGGTACCAAAACCAAAACCAAACCAGACAACAACAATAAAAAAATAAATAAATAAAAAATAAAAAAACAGTCACTGCCCACCTGCCCTGGGAAGCCATAAAATACAGGGTGTTGGGCTGGGTGTGGCTCAGTGGTACAGTACTTGCCTAGCATGTGTGAGGCACTGGATTTGATTCTCAGAACCACATATACATAAATAAATAAAATAAAGTTCCACCAACAATTTTTTTTAATTTACAAAAAAAAAAAAAAAAAGTGCAAGATGTCATGGGGTAGTCAAGGTTTGCTTGTTCCTGAACTTAGTATGCCAGGTCAAAGGCAGGAGTTAGAGGAAGGCACTAAAGGCAGAGACAGCAGCCTGGGCATACAGTGCTGGGTATTTGTGAGGTGGGAAGAGGTAAACAGGCGCTTATGGCAGGAGACAGGCAGAGAAATGTAGGTGGCCCTTAGAAGGCCACAGCCCTATGGGCACTTATGAGGAAAAGGACCCACACAACTCTTTCATGCTATAGCCTGCCAAGTATTTTTCCATACCTTCCCTGGTTGCATCGTAGGAGCTCTGGAATCCTGCTAGGGGAGCTGGAGGCAGAATTTTGAGGTGACCTGCCTGCTGGGGCTAAGCATTTGGCTTAGGAACCTTCTCAAAGTATGATAGGCAGTTAGCTGGTCAGTCCAGAATCTCTGGGGGTGGCTATGACCAGAAGGCTTAGCAGGGTCTCAGTACAGGTCCCATGTGTGTGTGTGGATATCTCTGAAGCTGGTGTGGTGTTGGAGTATAGAATAGCTGTATTGATCCCCACAGGCTTCTGGTGAGTGACTACATATCTGTGCAGGGGTGTGTCCATGGCTGTGTCACCATCACAGCGGGGGCGGGACTGGTGTGTGCCAGGTACGTGTGTGTGCCTGCCTTGGAGCTCAGCCAGTAAATCCTGCCTGGGGACACATGCCAGTGGGGTGAACTCAGCCTGGCAGAGGGCCCTCACAAAAGCTGCAGCAGTTTGGAATCCCTGTCCTCTACCCTAGAGGGGCAACAGCTTTTTTTGTAGCCTTGCGGCCATGCACCTGTGTGTGTACTGTATGTGTCTGATAAAGACCTTGCTCCCCAACACTGGCCCTGAGGCTGCAAGGGACACTCAGGTAGAGCAATGTGAAAGAGGCTGTGGTTCCCAGGATAGGGGGAGGACTCCTGAGGAGGAAGGCAGTGTGTGTGAGTATGTGAGTGTGTGAGTGTGTGTGTGTGTGTGTGTGTGTGTGGTGGGGGGAGGTAGGTACAGGAGTCCCAAAATCCAAGGAACATGTTGGAGACAAACAAGGAGAAGTAGTCTTCTCAGCACCTCCACATCCTCTCCACTGGACCAAAGACCGCTCAGAACAAGAGGTACTTGGGCCTGGCCTCACCTTCCACTTTTCCTCACTTGGCACCATGTCAGTTCTGATAACACCTGGCATTGGGCCACACCACTTTCCCTGGGAATAGAATAACCACTTATACCTCCTCCATTCTCCTTGGAGCTTCCTAAGCTCCTGTCAGAAAGCACCAGACCTTTAGCTGAAGAGGATGCTGAGGCCCAGGGTGAGGGTGCACAGGTGCACCCAGAATGCTCAGCTGAGGTCAAGACTGTCTTATCAGTATCCCACCCACACCACTGTTCCCCACTCCATATCTCAGGGACACTTGGAGAAGGCAGGCAGAAGTCAAGGTTCTTATCACACTGGAATCAAGTTTGGACCTAGAGGAAGGGTAAAGCAATTTGGAGGATGCTTGATGAGCTCCTGGTTATGAGGTGCCAGTATAGGGAGAGGTAAGGACTTCAGGCTGGCTTCCCAAGTGGAGCCTAATTGTTAGCCTGGGACAGGGGAATGGACACTTGGACAAAGAGGGTCAAGGGGCTGGCCCAAGGTCACCAGTAGGCAGGGCAGCCGGCAGGCTAGGATAGAGTGCTGATCCCCCAGTAAGAGGTCTGGGCTAGTGAGCCACATCTTGGGAGACGACTTTACGTCGGTGTCCATATGCTCCAGTGAGAACCTAGAGGGAGCCCGCCCTTGTTTCCTCCCGTCGCCGTTCAGTCCTCAGTTTCCCTATTCACAGTGAGCCTGTGCGTGGAGTGGGGAGTGGTTCACAGTCCTAAGCAGTCCCTGAAGGTCCTTCCGCACTCGGTCCCCTTTAGCCGGTCAAACCCTCCCAAAGCCCGGCCGGGTAGCACTAGGCCTGCCCTCTCCGATGCGCCCCTCACGGAGGCTGGGCGGGGACAGAGAGCCGCGCTTACCCCTGAACGCAAAGAACCATGTCCCGGAGGCAGCAGCTTCGGAGTGTGGACCAGATAGGAATTCGGCAGAAGGGAGCCAGTGGATCGGGAGCGCGAGCAGATCAGGGTCCCGAGGCTTACGCGCGGCGGACACAGACTGAGAGGTGGCGGAGCGGACCGCCAGAAAGGGCGAGAGGGGCGGGCCGGGCGGGTGGGGCGGGGCAAGCCGCCTCCTAATCTTTTGTCCCGCACGTCCCAGCCCTTCCGGGAAGCGGCGTCTTCCTAGAACCGCAGGCTGGGCCGTGAGGCTGGGGGAAGGGCGCGGGGGCTGGCGCGGGGGGTGCTGGCACCGGCCGGTGGGGCCTTGGGCCCTAAAAGGAAACACCTTTGACTGATTTCCAAGAACTTTCCAGGAAAACGGGGCGGGGCTCCGCGAGCCGGCCAATCGAAACGTAGGAGGTAGAGCCGAATGGCTGGGAGTGCCAATTGCATGCGTGGACCCAGGACTGACGTGTCAGGCAGGGCGGGACCAAGAGACCAGTAGGGGAAGACCGGGTTAGGGGAGGTTAAGGGAGGGGCAGCGGCTTCTGCAACCCGATCCTAGATTGCCTTCCGGCATTCCACTTCTTTGGGGATGGGCGCGCTTATCTCATTATCAAACCAGTGCCAGCGTGGGGGCGAGTTCCTGGACCTGTCCTCCTTGCTAGCCGGCCCTCCAAGGCGGTCTATCGAGAAGTGCAAAGGCTCCCAATTGGGTCGCGCCTGGATTCGGGGATTCTGTGTGGGGTTAAGGGGAGGTGGATGGCATGGGGGCGGGGTCTGGAAAGAGACTTAAGGGAGAGGAACGGGGTGCAGAGAGTGGCCCCAGGAATGAGTAGGTCCGCTGAGGTGGAACCCGCGTCCCCCACAACCAAAAGCAAGAACGTTTTCTTTGAAAGAGTGGGAGAGAAGGCATTTGGCCGGACCATTCAGTCTTGGCTCCTGGTCGGTCCCATCAATCGGGAAAGTGACTATCAACTTGAGGTATTTAGGGACAGTCAACCCCCAGACAGGTTCGGTGAATGCTGGGAGAGAGACCTGGAGTTCCAAACACTGGGAGAGGATTCCGAGTGGGGTGACAGAGGTGAGGGGCAGAGCAGTAACAATAGCCCCATCTACATGAAGTACTTTCTAACATTTGATTCTCAACATTTGGGATTGTCTCCATTCTGCAGATGAGAAGATAGAGCTCCCAGAGAATGAAATGCCTTCCTAGGAAATAGCAGGGCCACAGTTTGATTCCAAATCTGAATCAGAAGCCCATGCTCCTACCTGACTCCTCCAACCCTCTCATTTTTCTGTTCCTTAGACTTACCAGAGAGTATCTTGAAGGACTGTGAAAACCTCCTTTAAACCCTTGGCCAGAAGGACTGAGGGAGATGAGCTTCAGAGAGTCAATAGGGGCCTTTCCTCCCCACACCCCAGACACACACTGTCCAATGTGTGTCTCCAGGTGCCTCAGAAAAGAGATGAGCTGCAAGACCCAGGGCAAAGAAGGCAGACCCCTGGCAGTGTTTAGAGGTCTGAATGATAGTGTCTGATTTTTCCCCAGGGCAGACAAGGCTCAGTGCCTGGTATCCATGGAGGAGCAGAGGACAAACCCCTGTGAAGCAGAAAAAAATAATTGGTTGAAAAGAGATATGACCTCAGGGTACCCGCTTCTCTGTAACTTTCCTGAAGAGAAGCCAGGCTTTCCTGTAGCCCTGCCGACCTTTCCTGAATAGGCCAGAAGTCAGTTTCTTGGAACAGAAGTGGGGTGCCATGGATACTTCATTACCCACATTGAAAGTTGAGTTACCTGAAAAGCCTAGTATGAGGCCCCTGGGTAGGGTGCTGTCTCTCCAGTAGGAACTATCTACTGCTACATTACTATGAAGACAGAGGTTTCACAGCTACCATGAAACAAAGATACTTTTTAAAAAAAAATAAACTCAGGGCCTTGCACATGCTAGCAAGTGCCTTGCCACTGAGCTATAAACCCAGCCTCTACAGCTACAATTTTGAAACTGTGCTTTATGGGACTAAATTCTAACATCTCTTCCTCAAGACTATTGCACTTCTTACTCACTGTGACTACTCTGATGAACACTTCAGACACTCTCAGCAATTACTAGCCTCATTTCATAATCAAAATTACCACACAATATCCTGTTTGACAAGTGAGGAAACTGAGGCATAGAGAGATTGCCGATTACCCTAGATCTCACAGTAATCGCGCATTGGAGCAAAGGCCTTACCCACTTCATCCTCTTCTCTAGTTATGGGTGACCTGCTAACTCCTAGGCATCCTTCAGGATTCAGCCTTTAGCTCTACAGTCAAGCTTCCCTGTCCCTGGGCCAGTCAATGTCAGAGCACATTGGGTGTCCCCTTGGAGGCGACCCCTACAGAGATCAGTGATTAGGCAGTTCTGTGTTAAACCAAAGGGTCCCAAGAATTTGGGCCCTTTAGCCATCTTTTTGTGAATGATAGCGCTATGCACCTTAACTTTCGTGCTAGGAATAGTTGGGTGCTCCTGCCTGTTCTGACCTAGGTGTCTGCCTGCTTCAGGCTTTGTGGGTCCCTCCTACAATCTCCTTATTAATTCTCCTGTCCTGTTTGTTCGCCATGAGCCCTACCCCCACCTAACTCTTGTGCCCACACTGCCACCCAGTGGCACTCCTTCTTATGACCTCACTAGCCAAATCTCAACATCATCATGCTGTAGGCTCCCCTGGCCCTCCCCTCCTAGAACAATCACAAATACATAGCAGTGCTTTCCTCAACATCTGGCTGATGTGGCCTCTGTCCTTATCATGAGCAGCCTCCCCTCTCCCTGAAGGACAGTCCATGTGTGTGTGTGTACATCTGCTCCCCTTACTCATTGGATCTCTTGATCACTGTACACAATCTCTGTCCCCTGCTGTACAGCTATTATGGAAGGCTGTGTAAGCAAGTCTGCCAACATAAACCCACCCCACCCAGGCCCAGTCACCCTACATACTGAATCTTCCCATCAGTGTGAAGGAGGATGAGGCAGGTGATTGCTGAAATATGAGCCCTGAGAGGAAAGCACATATTCAGACTGTCCTTGGTTAAGTGAGCAATTGTAAAACCTCTGCATATGATGGATGCATGTGAGCAATATGTGTATGTCTGTGTAAATAGGGGCATTGGAGTGGAACTTGGAGAGGAGAATATCACCAATTGGTTTCATTTTACACTTCTGTATGGCTTGAATTAACTACAACAAGCAAGTTTTACTTTTGCAAGTAAAAATCTTAATAAAGAGCTAGATACCATGGAACACCACATGCCAGTAATCCCAGTTACTTGGGAGGCTGAGGCAGGAGAATCTCAAGTTTGAGGCCAGTTTCAGCAACTTAGTGAGATCCTATCTCAATTTTTTTTTTGGTGTGTGTGTATGTGGTGCTGAGGATTGAACCCAGGGCTTTATGCAGGTGAGGCAAGCACTCTACCAACTGAGCTATCTCCCCAGCTTATTTTTTTTTAAGTGAAAACAAAGCCTGGTAAGCGGGCACATACCTGTAATCCCAGTGGTTCAGGAGGCTGAGGCAGGAGGATCACAAGTTCAAAGCCAGTCTCGGTAAAGTGAGGCACTAAGCAACTCAGTGAGTTGCATCTCTAAATAAACTACAAATAGGGCTGGGGATGTGGCTCAGTGGTGGAGTGCCTCTGAGTTCAATCCCTGGTACCCCCCCCCCAAAAAAAAAAAAAAGTAAAAACCATACAAACTTAAAAAAATCACAAGTATAAAAAATTTTAGTGCAACTGTAATCTAATACCATTTTTAAGAAAAAAAAATCCTCTAAGATGCCTTTGGCTAGGATAGGGAACCAACCTCTACCCTCAGTTGTTTAGCCCTCTGCTCACTTGCAAGACTGCTCATCCAGAATGAGAACTTGCTTGGCCTTAGGTTCACCAGGCTCAAACAAGCTGCCTCCAAAGGGCAGTGCCTTCCCTAGCCTATTAGTAGTAGAAGCTTCCAGATTGCAGGGTTTCCTTCAAAGCTCTGAGATCTTGGATCTGATTCTCAGATGTATTAAGGACATTTATCCTGGACCCATCTGGGCATAGGTGTGGGCATGCACATGTATATTTGTGGGCGTATTTGTTTATGCATATGCACATTTCCATGTTTGCATTTGTTTATGCATATGAATGCACTTGTGTGTGCATGTGCAAGTGCATGTGTAATATGAATATATAAAAGTATGCTTGCATAGGTGGAAGTGTGTGGGGAGGCAGAGATCCATGAGAGGAGGACACAGTTTGAGGGTAGGAGTTTATCCCTAAGGTTGTGCTCTGGGTTTGGAATGGGGGCTCTGTTGGGATATCTGCTGACTTTGAGCAAATCACTTTGACCTCTCTGAGCTTGTGTTTACTCTGTGTTTATAGTATGGGCCCAAAGGGATGGGTATGCTCTCCCTTCTCCAGATTTAGTGAGGTTATGGGTGTCCAGATAGAGCATCTTCCCAGCATCTGAGAAGTGTTCAAGGTGTCAAGGAGTGTTCAGTCATGGTCGGCTGAAGCCCTTCCCTGGGGACCCCTGTTTCTCTGAATTGAAGGTCACCTGGAGGAGACAGGGGCAGAGCCCCCAAGCTCCTATCCCCACTCAAAACATGCACATAGAGCGTGCCTATCAATAGTTGTAGCACCCTTGGCTCACTCACTTTGTTCCTCACAGAGATGTTGTCAGAGATGCAGGATGTTGTTGCACAAACAGGAGGATACCAAGTTTCTGCTCTGTGGGAGCTACTGCTCTGAGGAGCCTGCGCTGCAGGTTCGTGTGTGTTCGCCCACGCGTGTATGTGTATGTGTGTGTGTGCGAGCGCGCGCGCGTGTGTTGTGGGAAGCTGTGGAGTTAGGCCTCAATTCTGAAGCCCCGAGAAGAATGGCTTGGGTGGGACCGGGGTCGCAGAGCATGCAGTCCTAAGGATGGCCTGTAGATGGCAGAAGTGCCCCGTACAGAGACCCTGCCTGGATCCTCACCTTTTCAGACTTCACAGAGTAGCTTTCTTTAGGGTCCCTCAGCTTTCAGGTTTGGGCTGGGATTCGGGGATACCGGAGTGGGGTAATGCGGATTCACCCAGGAGACATCCACAGCCACATTTTCTGTGACTCTAGACAAGTCGTTTCCTCTCTGGCAGTCTCACTTTTCTCTGTAATAT